ACAAGTCTTTCCTATTACAAGTCTTCGAAGCATTGAGGTGGTTGGCTTCTTGTTTATGTATTCATAAGGATCAATTTAGATTACATGGTTCCTTCAACCAAAACAACAATTACAGACGCATGGGTCAAAAGCACAGCCTAGTTGGTTGCTTCTGTTGTGCTCATGTATAGACAGCATTGGACTCTATTTGGTGGGTGGTAGACGTTGGGAGAAGAGAAAGCAGCGCTTCTTGCATTCAAGGGAAGGCCTCACTGAACCCTCTAGTTAGGCTCTCTTCATGGATTGGAAAAGACCGCTGCAAATTGACCTGTATATCGGTTGTGATAACCAGGCCTATCATGTAAACTAATGTCAAAAATATTATTTATTGCTTTATTAAATATAGTATACTGATAAATAAATAAATAGAGAAACCTTCCAATCCACAACTCTACGATTTTTTTGGTTTGGATTTTCTTTAAAAAAAAAAAAATTGGAGATGCTTTTAAAACTTAACCGAGTAAAACAAGAAAATTGACTTTATCGCACATATCCCCATTAAATAATATAATTAATTTTTTTTTTTGTTTCCCGTTCGGTATCCGGGGTTTTGCCCCGATTAATCCAGACTCGACTTGCGTCGCGCAGTTAGAAATGGTGGATGAGTCTTCCAGCGAGGGCTGCTACGTATATAAGGTCTCGAACTCGAGATTTTGTTTAAATTGAAACAAACCGCTTACCACTTGATCCAACCCCTCGTTGATAAATAATATAATTAGTTACAATTGAACATAAGTAATTCTTTTTCCTCGAAAACCGATGCAATTAACTGAGTTCAAAAATAAACAATCATTAAACCTAAAAGCTTTTCATTCAAGATATATTTTTTAAAAAATTATTTTTTGAGAGCAAATAATAATTTGTAAAGTTTATCTATTTTATATTTCAAGAATATAAGATAAAATTTAATTATTAAGTAATAATTATCATTTCTTAAAAATATATTAGATTTTAAATTAAAAAATAAATTTTGATTTTAATTTTAAAATGAATCAATAAAAAAACTAATATATGATATTTTTAATTAAAATAAAAGTCAATTTTACTATTTTTAATATAAAAATACTATAATAATTATATAATTATTGCTTCTTATCATGTGTTTTAAAGGTATAAGATAAATAAATCTTAATTTACAACTTAAGATTTTTTTAAATATGTGTTTATAGCATAAGTTAAGAATATTTTTTATTATAAATGTATGTAAAAAATATAAATATTAATGTTAATTTTAGTGTAAGATAAAT